GTAGTCATCGTTTACCATCCGTATATAAAATAGTGAATAGGCAGAGATACAGGTATTACAGGCCTACTCATTTTAAAGAAAGGAGGTTTGATCCTCAGACACTCCCCGATTCTCGACAGCGACACTCGCCGTTTCCTCCACCCGTCTTGGCAATCGCGGGATCGCGGATCGAAAAATCGGACTCGCACCGAATTCACGTCGATCCTGGACACGTATTAAAACCGTGTCATACTATGGATTATTGGAAACTGAAGATTACTAATCATCTAGAGGCTTTTTCGTCCATTTCTCGCGATAATGTTTATGTTTTTGAACAACATATTGAATATCTAAAGGTTGTGCTTGCGTTTTCAAGGAGCAATCATGATTGTATAATGTAATTGTAAGCACGTCACTGCAAAGAGTCATCGTTTACCGTCGTAAATTTTTATATTACTTTAAAATTGAAACTAACGGAAAGCCCCGTTCTATATTGAGCCTCTAGACTGTTTGTTTTAAATTGTTTAAAGGGAGTGTCAATAATATTGTACAAAATAATTTTACAATAATATTAAGTCCAGGAATCGCTTAAGAATTTTTGCGAATAAGAGATTAGAATTCTCGATCAGTCAAATGATATTTTTAATTTCAATACATTTCGTTCTAATTGGCTGAATTTTAATCTTCAATTTGCAATTCTCAATTTCCAATGCGTAGAGTGACACGGGTTTTATGAAATTATTGGGAATGGATTCTGATCGAAATTGTTCCATTATTCCCTAGATTTCTATTGTGCTCTAATAGCAATTTATTAATAATGCATTGATTAAACGTTGGATTGGGATGAGCCAATATTGGGCCAATAATATACCGATAAATTGTGTTGTCAGAGTGTTTTCTAGAGAGAAAGCGGTATAATTCCAATCGAAATCCATTCCGAACAATTCCATGATATATGCCCTGTTTCCCGGTTTTTGCAATTCCAAAATTTAAAAAAAGAAAAAAAAAGTGAAAAAAAGCATTCGTTCATGTGTGATTATTATTCTAACTAATGACGTAAGATTATACAAAGTTAAGTGTCCTTAACGTTAAGCACACCCCGATACACAAACACTTGGAGAAAGTAATGTAAGGCGTTATCAGGAGACATCGAGGCCTCCCTTTTTCTCCTTTCCACCTCCTCTCCCAACCCCGTTCTTTCGCGTACTTTGAAATAGGCACACGAAACGGAGAAGAGATGTTGAAATGTGATTATTCTACGTGTACAATCGCGGACAATCACAGACAATCATTTACACGTATCAAGAATTATCGAGGTAGATGTATGCATGACACGCATTTCGTTTTGTTAGATAGAATCGCGTTTGGACGAGGAACTTTTTATTCGCGTCTCAACGGAACGCGACGATCGGAGGAACGCTCGATCGTGAGTGACGATCGTATTTTTTTATTATAATATTTTATATTATATATTTATTTATAATGACTTAAATATATTATTATATAATTTTACAACAGTTGCAAAGCTACTTTTTCTACACAACGCAGCCAATGCTTTTACGTTGCATAATTTAAATCGAATTCGTACAATTTAGAAAATTTATTTGAAGAAAATAGAAAATCGATGTAGAATATCCCTCTTTTTTCGTATTTTTATTATTATAACATTTTATACTATATTATTTATTATTATTTATAATGTTTGTATATATTTTTATATATTTATTTATGGTATACTTATATCAAATATCCTATTAGTTTTACAAGAATTTTACAATTGTTGCTACTTTTTCTACTTAAAGCAGTCATTATTTTTACGACACATAATTTAAATCGAATTTGTACAATTTAGAAAATTTATTTGAAGAAGGTAGAAAATCGATGTAGAGATATCCTTCTTTTTCTGATTTGCGCAATCAGGATAGCTTCTAGATCATATTTTTTATTCTAAATTATATATATATGTATATACATATATATATAAATAAATTATTTTGATATTAATTCTGTTCTATTTTCTATTTCTCGATTCGACTGCTCCACTCGTCTTGTTCCACATTGCCGGGAATACATAATGCCCGGAGTCGGTCAACATCGTGCCAGCGACATACAATCAAATTAGTAAACACTTCGATGTTGATCGGCACTCGTAGCTCGTCCAAACGCACACGTTTCGAGAGGAGTAGCCGCGTACCTATCGATTTTATCGATCACGAGCATCACGCATAAACTGCTCCTGTGCAAAGGCGCGTTTATTTATCGAATCGTTTGTATAAACGGCCAAGTCGGTCCAGATGAATATTTAGAAGCACGCAATTCAAAGTGCTATTTTAGAGAAACAAAAATCAACCCTCGCATTTCGCACGGCCTAAAAATTACGACCTAAACACGGAATAAACGCGCCGTTATGGTACATTTACGGATGCTCCGTTCGTTTCTGCACTTTCTCTTCGGATGCCTCTCTTACAAATTCCGTACAGGAGATACGATTCTCATTTATGGATTTCAAAGAATGACCTCGCTTTTGCCGCGGTAGATAGACTTCTCATCTATCAGAGTTGATTAAAGGTTTGTTTTTTTCATCTGAACTTGTACCGTTCATTTTTCCTCTTTTTCTCCCTATCGGGAAAAACGAGAAAGATGACTAATGCAAAAAGTTCAGCTAAAAAGAACAGGCCTAATATCCTCTCTTGATTCATCTTTTTGTATTTGTGAAACAAAAAGACTCTCGTCTGTCTATTATTTGAGTTACTTAATTATAAGACGCTACGCGAGCCGGTGATTACGTAACTTCAGCATGTTGATTCACCGTTGGAACATTTGTGCTAAATTTAATATTTCACATGTCTCAAACGGGTCCACTCAAATTTTTGTGTTTAACACAAGATGAATATGTTAAAAAATATAACACAAATATTATTTTTAAAAATAAGCATAAAAAACTAATACCGACTCAGTTTGTAAACAAACCGTATAAATTTTTTTTAGTAAAATTAATATTTAGGATATGTTAAAAATTAACATATCCTAACATATTTTGTTTATTAAAAATTAACATATCCTCACATATTTTATTCATTCATCTTAAAATTTACGTTTTAAAATACATTATTTTTATGTTATTTGTTAAATTGTCATTTTAACACTAAAAATGTTGGATATCAATTTAACACAAAGTAAATAGTTATCTATTATATTATAGTTACCTATTTATTTATTTTGTTAAATTCTCGAGAGCTCGGCTTTATTCTTTATTATTTAACACAAAGTATTTAAATAACCTAATCATGTGATTTGCATATTATATTAAATTAATACTCGAATATGTTAAAAATTCAACACAAAATTTTAACAAGGACTTGAGTGGACCGTTTCCAACACAAATATTTTTTGTGTTGAATCAATGATGAAAAAAACGCGTTTCAGATTTTGAAATTTCCAATTTTAATCGAAAACTTAAATTAACTGATGGCAAATTATTATAAAGTGACGATTTTCGAATATTTGAAAATGTAAGAAATTTTTTATGGATTTTCGTCTCTCAAAAATAATATATTTTATCTATTATTAGCACGTCTTAAATTTTGAACTATCAAATTCAACGGAAAGTCAACGATGCGAGGAAAATTTTAAATTGAGACACTCTGGAACTGTAGATAATAATTATGCGATTAAAGGAAAAGTATTTCTTAATCACGAAAGACGAATACGAACTCTTTGAGATCGGTCGTAGAATCGAGCACATTCTATATTGCAATTTCGTAATTAGTGAGCGTAGAGGAAAAAAAAGAGTAAAACACCATACCTCTGATTAAGCATTGCAAATATCGAGCGAATCATCCTGCACTTCCAAAATAAATCGATAAAATATATAGAGATTAACATAAATGTTAAATAACGAGAATATTTTTCAACGTAATTCGTCAGACATTTTGGATGTATGTCACGCTCGGAAACACTTTGCATAGATGAACCGATCCTAAAGAGGCTACCTTTTGCTGTGTACTGCTTATTTATACTAATTCGATCGAACTTTATTCCCGTTTACCACTCTCACTTATCTCCCCGAAATCGGTTACGCGCAAATCAATATTTATTAGCGCGTTTCCTAAACGGCGAATCTCTATTAATGTTAGTATAGAGATTCTCTCGCGTAGTAAAAGTATTCGTCACCGGCGAGTAAAGTGCTCAACCGAATAATCCCCGTCAAGATTATGTGTTCAGAAAGAATACGTTCTACGATACTCTTTGCGACACCGTTAGCGATAAGATAGAATTCAGAGGTCTATATTCAGAGAATAATACAATCCTTCTACCAATTATACATATATATAATTATAAATGTATATTTCATGTATTCGTTTTTAAAAATACAGTAAAATTACCGTTGTATCGATATAATGTTGAAACTTTGCACCCATGTCCGTTTGTATCTTTTCCATCTGTATGTAAATAGTTGCCGAAATCGTTAATTACAGTTTTACTGTGCAATAAGAGTATAGTTAAAATATTTAATATTTTATTGTCATCTAAAAAATATAAAAATTAAATAATACCTTATGCATGTAAGAAAAATATATATTGCAGTACATAACCCTTAGTACACACCTTAGTTTTTGGCACCCTTACTACACACAATGGGTCTTTCGTATCCTGGATTAATTTTCATCATTTTTACAAGTATATAAAAATTAAGTAATTTTTACGTATATTTTAACATCTTTAGAAAGTGGTATATTTATAATAAATTGTATATACAAATTGTTATATACAATTGTTGTATATAAATCAAAGAAAAGAAATATGCAGGATGTGAATAACCCAAAGGTATGTATTAAGGGATAATATATATATAGCATAATTAGAATTTCTTTTATTAGAAAATAACTAATACACTTAGAGATAACACATGGATTAAGTTAGATAATTATCCCTCTGTATGAGGGATAATGATATTGAATATAAGAATATATGCACTTACAATATTATTGTCCTCGTTATGGCGAAATTAATTTTTTTTGGCTAGTATAAATTCATAAGTGATAAATTCATATATGGTATGATTTGCTTCTCATGACGTTCCAAAGCAGAAGAATTTCATGTCCTGATTTTCCATTCTCGCCTTTGAGATTTGTGATAAATTATTAATTTTTGAAGAGCTTTAACTGACCAAAAGCTTTCCTTTGTGCAATATTGTGATATATTCTTACATAAATTCTTGGGGAATATCTTGATTTTCGTATTTTAGTTTTAATAGCTGCTATTTCAGCAGACGTGAGAAAAGATAGTAACTTTTGTATCGTAGGTGTTTTTTCATATTGCTTGGCTTGTTGTTTACATTGAAGCAGAAGTAATTGTTTCGCAGTTAATTTTCGTTTCCTTCTCGACGTCTTTTTCCTATGATTTAATTTAAATGTTTCTGCTGTTGAATTAGTTTGCTCAGTATTCGTGTCTAATAAAATTTGTGGCTGGTTGAACGAGCAAGATTTAATTTTCTCCGGAGTATCTTCGAATAATGTAATTTGAGTTATTTCTGATTCTTCCATTATTCTTGGAATTTCTGTCACCTCTGTCTCTTTTTTCACAGTAAACATTTCTCTACTCGCTGCCAATGTTTGCGGTTCTATTTTAATCATAATAGGTACACTAGAATCTGATCTGTTTGGCAAGTTTAAGGAAGGTGCAACGCCACGTTTCAACTTTCTTACTCTGAAGGTTACTAGATAGTCATTGTCGGCAAAATGCCGATAGCACACTGCACATTTGCTTATCTGCTCATCAGTCATATGTTGGATTTTCTCGGAATAAATCAGGCTTTTCCATTTCTGGAAGAGAGCTGGATTCTTGGGGATCTGATGAGATGGAGCATCTCCTCCCGAGGGACATCCTAAGATGCAACATGCCCTGCCCATTGCCTATAACGAGATTATGTATTCATGTCAATCAACTTATTAACAATCGTTTATTAATATCTCTTTAACCTCTTTAACTAGGTAAGTGATAAAGATACGCAAGTTGATAGGTAAGGCGCTCAGAATATTTTCAAAAAATTTCAATTCTTTAGTTATATATTTTTGTTATTAGCATCTCATGTTATAGTTTAATTATATCATTATAAGAGGAGGAAGATAAAAGTAATAAACTTTAAAACTTGTAAGAATATATTCTTCATTTTCTTTTTCCAGAACAAGGTTTTAGAAAGAAAACTGTGGTCACCTTACCTATCCACTAAAGCTTGTTTTTTTATTTTCTGATTAACTTAAAAACTATGAGTATGTAAACTACGTTTTACATGTCATCTATGTAAACAATCTAAGAATCATTGAAGTCTGTATTCTTTGTTGCATTAGACTGAACTGAAAGCTTTTATCTTGCTCTTATATTTTTATTTATTAGTATTAATTTTTATTTGTCAGGTGTATTAACAATTTTAAAACTTAATTACTTCTTTCTGAATGATATTATCCAATTTGTATTAATTTACATGTATATTATATGTAATGTCTATGTGAAAAAGATTCATGTAAACAGTACGTAAATATTTTATGTAAACATAATCTTGAAATATATACAGCACAACCCTGCACAACCCTGGATTAGACTTAACCTGATAATAACGTATAAACTGTATTTTTCTAGTTGTATTCAATCATTAAACGGATGGTTTTGTAGTGAATAAACTTTAAAGTTACCACACAATTGTAAAAGCATCAGTTTAGTGATTAATTATTGCTAGAAAAACAATTGTTATATTATTATCAGATAAAGTCTATGGTCAAAGTCTCGTTACAAATGCTTTGAAGCGTTTGATGGACCAATTAGAAGAAAGAATTTGACGAACTGACCAATTAAAAAATGCTTCGAAACGTTTGCAGCATCGCGTTGACCTTAAGTGTGAGGTTAAGTTTAAACCACAAATTAAATAAAAAAAAAAATGAAAAATCGGGCCTTAAAGATCGAATATTCACTTATGATAATCGCGTTTCCAAGTGACGATAACCTCAAAGAACAGTCGACCACCGCCAACGCGTCCAGGGTCGTTCCCCAGGAGGCGTCACATGATCGGCACCGTCGGCACTCGGTTACTTCCGAGAGGCAGCGACAGGTGGCAGTAGGTGGGGATCGAGAGTCGGCCATCTTTCCTCGCGGCCAACCGGGGTCGTCGCGTCCGTTGTCGTTCGTGCGCACGCGTCGGCGGCACTCGAATCGTGCGAGAGGCTGGCTACGCGAAATATTTGAAAAGTGCGGTCGTATCGCGTACCGGAGTGCCGACGTTCTCGCGTCAGCTCCGACCGCTCGGTGGCCGCGTTTCGTCGCGCCTCGTCGCCTCTCGCGAGTGTGGCATGCGAGGAAGCGCGCTGGTAACCGTTTACCCGCGTCACCCACGCACGGAGGATTATGCTCGATGAGCCGTTGTGACGCCCCGGTGGAACGACGATGCAGCGAAGTGGTAAGTGACAAGCGATCGGAGACGAGTCGTTCGGGTCGTTCCCCGCGCGCGCGGTCCTTCTCTCTCTCTCTCTCTCTCTCTCTCTCTCTCTCTCTCTCTCTCTCTCCTCCTTACTTTTCGCCTTCCGGACAGGTGAGAGAAAGACGGCGGGAGATACGCAGCGCCGACCATTTTGGCGGCCGCCAAATTTCGTCGTCAATACGGCGCGGCCGGTCGATACGTCGCGAACCGACCTAACCTACCAATTTAACCATTTAATAGTCACTCCCCCTCCCCTCCTTCCCTCGACAGCTTGGATTAATTAGATCTCGTCAACGCTGGTTTTCCTTTTTCATCCCCTTTCCGCGTAGCGGCCGTAATTACAGGACGAATTAAGAAGAAAGATTGGGTAATTTGGAGCACTGATCTTGCGCCGTCAGTCTGCCTGTCTTCTCTTGTGTTTCGTTGCTAAAAGAAGAAGATAGAAGGTGAGGGAGAAAGGGAGAGAGAGAGAGAAAATATCGAGTTTTTATTAACCGTTAATGTTTATTAATATACTGACTTAATTTAACGAGGTACCATGTAAAAAAATTCAGTGTATTTTTGGAACTTATGTTTTTCTTGCGAGATTGACTTGTGGTTGATTTTAACAGGTGTCTTATATTTTCGAGGGCCATCTTTGTTCACCCGCGTGTTGACGCGTTGCTAATTATTATTCTCGATGTTATTATTAACTTGCTTACCACAAGAGTGATATTATCCGTTGTTTTCTATTGTAAACATCAATGATTTAGCATGAAAATGTTATATACCGCGTTGATGGCTTTCTTGGATTAGTATAACTTATTATCATGAGAAAGTGATGAAAGAGAAAAATAAACCTGTCAGATAATTTTTGCAAAATTGTCAATTATCTGATTAATTTGTAATGTGAAACAGAAATAATTCTTACTTGACGATCTTAAGAATGAAATGCTTTGAAAAAATTAAGAAAATTATGAAAAATCCTCATCGGAGTCTCGATATTTATTTAATTATTTTACTTTATTTATTAGTCATTTTATTTATTAAATTCTTTTTATTATTATTTACATTCTTATTTACCGAAGAATGTCGCTTTATTTTGAATGCTTGTTTTTTAATATAGATTAATTTTAATTTCAATTAAATGTTCTTTATCTTTTTCTATAATAAGAATTGGAAAGAATGAAGAGTAAATCAAATCGAGAAAGTTGAAGTTAATCGACATTTAAAAAGTAAATACTGGCATAAAAATTAAAAAATTCTAGATAATATATGTTTTAAAGATCCGAAGATTTAGAAGTATTGTGATGGAGAATAAACATTGTAATGGAGAATAATAAATATCTTTTAAATCCGTATCTTAAGTCTCAGTATCGACGTTTTTTCTTTGAAAAGAACCAGATTATTTTATATATCTAATGGTTTCCATCAATAGACTAACTTTAATCTCGATTCAACCTACTTTTTGTCTTTTTCTAGTTCTCAGAATTAGAAAAAGATAAATCAGTTGAATTGAGATTAAAGTTCATCCACATTATTGGAAACAGGTCTCGATCGTTATTCTGAAATCGGTTTTTGTTGTTCGTTTTATAGTCTGACCTCGCTTGTTCTAAATAGTTATTCACGCAATACACAACACGTCACCCGATTAGTTTCCCATTAAGATAAGATTGCCTGTTGTGTTGGTCCTGCATAGATAAAGCGCTGCTATTTTCACGGACGTCTATTCCCGCAATCGGTCGCGATAGGAAGGGGTCTGATACAAAAGTTACATACCCAGTTAATATATTCAGGGCGCGTATTATGGAACTGTTCGGAATTCGATTGGAATTATTCCTTAGAAATTACAATAGAAGTCTGCAGAACAATTCCGATCGAAATTATTCCGACCGAAATTATTCCGACCGAAATTTTCCTTAGAGAACGCAATGGAAATCTAGAGAATAATTGAACAATTGATCCCCGATTAGAATCCGTTCCGAACAATTTCATCAAACACCAAGGGTTTTAAATCCACACCACATTTTGGTGTTAAATTCATACTGATATTTTTTAGAGTATATATAATTATTTGGATAGTTTAACAAAATTATTTTTAGATTTATATCTAGCTAAATTATTAAATACTTCAGCAAAACCGTTTTTTTTTTCGTGTAGCTTGTGAAGTATGGCGTTAATTATTGCAGTTACTGTAAGATGAATGACGATTTGATGAAACTGTATTCTTTTTCGTATTTAACCCCTTGAGTGTCAGGCAAGAAAAACGCTTGTATGCCAAGAATGCTATCAATGACAAATTTATAAATATAAAGTAAGCCACTTTTCCGAGGTTTTTTTGTGATGCTGATCAGGAATTTAAGGTCAGAATTCCAAAATTCTCCGTTCCTAAGATGATAGTCCACGATCTCAAAAACCCTCAAAATCAAATATAGATATCCATAAGAATAACATAAATTTTATTTACATTATATCCGCTATTTTGGATTTTAAAAAACTCAAAAACTCTCGGATACCAATTTTTACGAAACTTGGAAAAATTTTTTTAATTATTATCCGCCATATTAGATTCGCGATATCCAATTTTTTAAATCTGATATCAAGTTTATAATCAGCGACCTCAAAAACCCACAAAATTTTTATGGAATTCGTTAAATAAAAAAGTTCATGCATAGAAGCCGAAAATGATCAAAATTTTCGAACATACGGTCCGCCATATTGAGTCAGCCATTTTGAATTTTGGAATTTTCACTTCAAATTAATATTCAGCGACCTCAAAAACATTAAAGTATGCATTATCAGTTTAATTACTGCACTGCAAAAGTGATTTATTGGCGTTATGAAATATGCGGATTTTTCCGTCATGAAGCACTTTTGACCAGTTTTATTTTGTCGGATTTTTTCGTCATTGACACTCAAGGGATTAATAAGCAGATGTCTCAAGAAATGAAAAGATTGACAAAACTACAAAATTTAAACGCGATAACGATAATATTTACGGTTTGCGCGTTTTATTGATGACGCTCGAAAATAGACCTGCGAGGAATTCTGCAGGGTTAAAGAATCAATTCTCTTAATCGATTAAGGGGGAAGAATGCGAGAGGAGGAAAGTAGGAGAGCGATGGTGGAAGGCAGAGCAAGTGGGCGAGGATAGAAGAGAGCGCTTCTTCGTCGCACGTGAGAGAAGCTCCGAGCGATCGCGAATCGTCCGAGTCGACGTTGCCTTTAGTGTGACTCGCGTATTCGACACGCGAACACGCGATCGTATCTTCCGCATCCCATCAAGGATATCAACTTTATTGTACTGAAGACTCACGTGGCTCACGAAAAACACACATTAATTACCGGCGAGATACATCGGGATTGTGAATGTCGCGATTATCCGCGAAAATCTGCGAGAATCGGTTCGAATTGAGATAAATTAATCGAGTCGTCATTTTCTGTATTTGTATATTTTTAGATTTGCGGGTTTCTCGTTTTCTTGAATCGTTTAAATCCTCGAGTCTGTATATAGATGGACCGAATTGAATAGATACATCTCCGCTCGAGTTCCGATAATGGATGGTATATCTGGAACGGTCGATAGCTCTTTCGAGATTACGTCTCTCATATCGCCCTTTTTTCAATGCAAGAGAAGTTAAACTTGTATCGAAACAGTAAAAATTTTATATTTTTGTACGACTTTTTTTCATTATAACGCCTCAAAAACCTCTGTACTCTTCGAACAACAAGAATATTTTTGCACAGACTTTATCTTCACTTTTATATTTTTAGAGGGAAACACGGTAGTGGAAAAGGTGAAATTATGCATGAAAAAGATGATTTTGTTAACATATCTAAAACTTTAGCTAGATCCGAAAATAATTTTGTTGGACCATCAAAATAACTAATTGCTAGAATGTCAAAACTTTTTGCAGAGCATATCGTTATATTTGAAATTCCTGTGTAATTATTTTGAGGGTCCAACAAATTTATTTTCAGATCTGTATCTAGCTAAATTTTTATATATATTTCAGCAAAATCGTTCTTTTCGTGCATTAAGGATTAATCTACGTTTCTCATCGAACGTTGACGTTAACCGCGATCGTGCAGGCATTTAAATTCGCCCGAGATTTCCCGGTGTATCGACACGCTTAATCGGCCATATATACTATATCGCGTGATATTTAAATTCTAACCCCAGGGATCCGTACATTTTGGAAAATCTATTTCGGTCGATGGCACCCCTCGGGGCAACGTGCATAGTCATTCACGCGATTCGCCGCGACAGAATTCGACGATAAACGACGCGGGGATATCAGAACGGACGATCAGGATGGAGGCTTCCACGATCGTTCTGCAAGACGCACGTAAGATGCAAGTTTCCATTTCTCTTTCAAATCTTTGGAGTGGAATGTAACTCTAAAGATTGAAATCTCACTTTTAAAAATTAACAATTGTGAGCCACTCTTGAAAAAGAATGGCTCAGTTATCAATTTTTAAAAGTGAGATTTCACTCTTTAGAGTGAAAGATGTTATTGAAAAATATTGACTCAATTGTCACTCTTTTTTTTCTCGTTCTTTAGAATTAGATTCTACTCCAAAGATTTTGAAGAGTACGTGTACTTCTTTGTGTCTTTTTAAAATTTAATATAGCTTTGATAATTTTTTACATTCTTATATTATTTCA